CTTTTTGCTTGGTTGATTTTTGTTTTTTTTTTTTTTTTTTTTTTTTTTTTTTTGGTGTTTGTTTGTTTGTTTGTTTGATTTCCCAAAGGGGATTGTAAGGTTTTTAACCGCCAGACTTACCAGGACTGGTTTAAATGAATCTGAATCAATGGCTGTCAGTGGAAGAATGGGCTGGTTCCGCGTCATTCCCTGTTTGGTTCAATAAAAGAAAATAAGGAAACAGGAAGTGTTATAAACTGAGTCAGGCCTTAGGGAATAGACACTGCCAGCATAGAGAAGCCAATACCAGACAGGGTTAGGGGACCCTCAGAGGGACCCCTTCACTTTGCACTGCCCTCCCACGCCATCTTTTCACGGACTGTGCTCATCCACCAGGAGCAGAGAAGCAACAACAGAGTCCCCTGCCCTGTATATAAAGATTGTCTAAAGAGAGAAGAAAATGTGCACGTGAAGAGACTAAGGGTGGACTGATGGGGGATGTCCTTCTGTATATATGTTTCTCTTATTGGTCGATGAATAAAACACTGATTGGCCAATAGCCAGGCAGGGAGATAGGCGGGGCAACCAGACCAGGAGAAGGCTGGAGAGAGGAAGGCCGAGAGAGGCCTCGGAGATGCCATGCCGTGCAAGGAGTAACATGCCTGATCATGGGTAAGCCACAGACTCGTAGCAATACACAGATTAGTAGAGACGGGTTGATAATTAAGAGAAAGCTAGCCAGTAAGACGTCCTAGCCATCGGCCAAGCGGTATTATAAATTAATATAAGTCTTTGTGTGTTTATTTGGGGCTAAATGGCTGCAGGACCGGGTAGGATGGAAACCTCCATCTACAGTGGAGAGGACTGTGTAAGGTGAGTAGGTAGGACAGAGCACAGCACACTAAAATGAAGTCTAGTAGACAAAGAAAGCTGAAGGAAGACATTGGGATCCTGTCCCGGGACATTCTCCAATTGCCGTAACAATGTGTTTCCCTGGAGGCTGGGAAGGTGGAGATCAGGGCACTCACAGGTTCAGTGTCTGCTGAAGGCCTGCTTTGTGACTCATCAATGATGGCTTTGAACTGTCCTCGGGGATTTCAACTTACAAATTTGGGTAGGGAAAACACTCAAATGCAGCCGTCAAGGTCTTGGTAGATTTATGCTATTTCATAAAATTATTCTGGTTTTGGGCTGACAAAGATGGAGAGGCACCTGCCGACAAGCCGACAATCTGAGATTGATCTCAGGGATTTAGAAGATGAGAGCAGAGAACCAGTTCCATTAAGTTGTCCTCTGACTTCCACACATGTGCTTTCACACACACACACACACACACACACACACACACACACACACACACAAATTCATTTACATAAAAAATACTGGTTGTCTATATCCTTATTTTCATAAGCATTATAACCTAAACAAGGGATTCTTGTGTGTGTGTGTGTGATGAGTATTCATCTTGACTCTGTAGGTGCCCATGTATATGTGCATGTATGATTGTGCAGATGTCCGTGTGTGTGCATGTGTGTGTCTTAGTTAAAGTTTCTATTGCTGTGAAGAAACACATTTAATTGGGGCTGACTTACACTTTCAGAGGTTTAGTCCCATTATCATCATGGTGGGAAACATGGGGTACACACTGGAAGACATGATGCTGGAGAAGGAACTCGGATCCAGATCTGCATCCAGATCTGCAGCAGGAAGAGAACAGTGAGCCACACTGGGCCTGGCTTTAGCATCTGATACCTCAAAGCCCACTCCCAGTGACACACCTATTCCAACAAGGCCATGCCTCCCTGTCCTCTAAGCCTATGGGACCATTTTCATTCCAACTACCACAGTGTGTATGCGTGTGAATGTGCAGGTGTGTGTGTGTGTGTGTGTGTGTGAGAGAGAGAGAGAGAGAAAGAGAGAGAGAGAGAGAGAGGACTGTCTTCCTTCAGGTGCCATCTACATTTTTAAATTTTGAGGCAGGGTCTCTCCTAGGCCTGAACTCACCAACCAGGGAAGAACGCTGGTCATAAGCCCAGTGGATTAACCTATCTGCACCTCCTCCTTTTTAAGTTCTTTACTGATGGAGTCATCCCCCTTAAAAGGGGGGCATTTCTGAAGTTAGAATACTCTGGAATACCACTGATATTCTGAGTCAGCTAGGTTTTTTTATTTTTATTTTTATTTTTATTTTTTTGATGGCAAGTGATTTTGTGAGCTTTTAGGATCTGAAGCAACATCTCTGGTCTCTGGCACCCATTTCCTGCCCCCTTCAAAAAGATCACCCCAAGGTGTTTTCAGAATCTACCAGAATGTTATATGGCCGCCAGCTGAGGACCACTGCCTTTGAAGAATCCATTTCCCTCGTGTTTGGCTCCAGAGCAGCACTGTACCTCTTAGGTTGTAACGGGAATGTCGTCCTGGCTTCCTGGGGATTTCTGTAGCACTGACTGACAAAAGGGCTCCTGAAAGATGGGTACCTGTAAGAACACACTTCTAAGAGCTTCAGGGATGCTGGGCTGCTCTCTATGGTGATTTGAATTCTATCTCTAGGGCTCCTGGGTCCTCCTAAATGAGTATTGCATTGAACAACAATGCTCAATTGTTTGCGGGCCTTTATCTGGTGTCTGGATATCAGACGGGAGAAAAACCGCAGACACTCAGTTCAATCACTAGAAACAAAGTCCGTTTTCTCCCAAAAGAGCACCCTGGAATGATTCTGTTCACACAAATGTAACCATGAAAGAGGGCCGGGAAGCCCACAGTCTGTGGGGATAGATCACCTAGTGGCATTTCAGGAAAACAAAAGTTGGTTCTGAGATAAAGACCGTCCGGGTTCCTGCCCAGTTAGAGACTTGATGTCATTTGTAAGTCAGATGTCATATTCATACCATTATTTGCAGCATGCATACAATTTAAATATTTTAGCCTCCATTATACAACTATAGCTACATTGCTGACCTTCAAGGGCCCCATTCATGGGGGAGGAGCCCAAGGAACAATCAGTTACTTCATGTGAGGGCTGGCAGGCAGACTGGGTTTCCTTACGTTGCCAGACAAACCAGGATACAAGGACAGCTTTGGAGCAGTCCATCATGACACAGTTGGGACAGAAAATGACTGGGGTGGGGGCACCCTTTTGGAGGCGGGAGGGAATAAAGGAATAAAGCCTTTTTTTTTTTAACCCTTTCTCTTCTATTTTGAGAAGGAGCTATCAGCCTTTGTTCCCAGGGAGAATGAAATACCCATGAAGACTGGTGGTGTTCGGGCGGGGAGGGGGGGGCGGTTGTCAGCACTGAGTTCCTTTTGTTGAGGCTCCAAGGCAAAGGAGAGGAATCTGGGCTGGGACAGATTCAAGCCAAGATGCAAAAAGAAAAAGAATTCCTCCCAAGGATTTCTCCTATTGTCTCCCCGTGAATAAATATTTATGGAGCAGAGTCTAGTGAAGCCCGCCACAACCGTCATAGCTTTAAGACCAAGGCTTCCAACGGGCACATCCAAAACTATGCCTAAGCGTGATCCAATTAAGACTTCCCAGAGGAAGGCAAGAAACCTCAAGATAATTTCCTACTGAAAATCTAATTGTGTCCTCAAGTGGAATAGGAACACCGGCATGAATTACCCCAGATCCATAGGCTGTTGTAAAAAAAAAAAAAAAAAAAAAAAAAAAACGTACAGCTAAATTAGATTCTATTTTAAGTAATTAAGTTATTTCCCTTCACAGGATCTATAATTTGTCTTGAACAAATGTGATTTGCCTAAGAAAGATAAGGGCTTGCAATTTTTCCTCCCCAAACAGATTTTCTGTGCCAGAAACAATTACTAAGAGACCAAATATTGTCTTAATTATAATCTCACTCACTATCAGGGAGCATGCCTTCAGCACCCTGTTTGTGGGAGAGGCACTGCCTCGGTAGATGGGAAGTTATCTTTAAATGGAGAGCGGACGTGCAATTTACTCAAGAGTTTGGGGCTTGCACAACGTTAGTGCAAATAGCTCTAGGTTATTACATAAGGCTCTAAAATCTTGTGCAAAATCGGGCAATGGAGAGTTTGCTTCAACAGATCTTGGAACCCTAAAAGAAACACCAGCACTAATCTTCAGCTGCTTTAGTTGAGCCCCTCAGGAGATGTGAGGTGTTGTAACAAAGTCAGACTAAAGGTACTGAGATTTGCATAGAAGATATTGCAAGGTGGGTGTTTTGGTTATAGCTAATTTTATGAAGAAAACATTCACTTTTGGCCTTGTATTTGGCAACAACTCAGTTGACATCTGACCAGGTGTTCTGGGGGGGGGGGATGCAACAGTGGGTAATATGCATAAATGGTGTCAACTCTGGGTTGTGTCCGTTGAAAATAAATTATACCGAGTCTCTATGCCTTAGCTCCCACCTCTGTAAACAGGGAGGGATGTCATTCACACTAGATGACACAGCACCTAGCCTGCCTCCCTTTAGAGGACAGATGGAAAGCTGTTGTGAGCCTCAGTTCCCATCTCTGTAAACAGGGAGGGATGCTATCCACATTAGACAGTCCTTCATAGGACCGGGCACTGCACAGATATGCTTAAGCTCCCACGAGTTGAAAGTCTAAGGTTTCAGCGCTTGACTCAGACTTTGAAATATTGGCTGTGGCTTGTCCCCCACCTTAGACCAACTTACATAAGCTTTCTGTGCCTTAGTTCCCTCCCTTGTAAATGTTACATAATAACAGAAGCAGAAAGTAAAATATTATACAACACTTAAGACAGGCTGGGGAGATGGCTGCATTGGCAAAGTGCTTGCTATACAAGCATGAGGCCTCAAGTTTGAGAGAGCTTGTCTCAACAAACAAATAAACAACAACAAAAGCAAAGCAAAGGTATGCCTGGTCACGAGGAACATCTAAAGTTGACTTGACCACCAAACACATCATGCATGTGCACATATGTGAGCCCAGAAGGATCTCTGCTGTACCACAAATGTGTTTTCCAAACATGTTGTTACTGATAGCCATCAGAAATGACGACATAGCACAACACAAAGTAAGTTTATCATTGAGTTTTATTAACAACATAATACAAGACTGTACAAGGCTATAATCAACCCACCAAACAACCAGCATTCCTAAACTGTGTCAGGCTTTGGTTTTAAGTGCCATCCTTCATAGAAAAGTCACACAGTACAACTAAACAACTTGAGAATGGGGATGGGGTGGGGTGGGGTGGGGAGGTGGGGGCGTGCTCCTCGGGAATGGAGAGATTATGCAGCAACAGCTGAGGATCACTTCTAGCTTTATTCAATTCATCACACATTCTGGAATGTTCAGTTCTTCTTTCTACAATGCTACAGTCCTACACCCAGACACACAGCAACTAAGAACTTGGCCACAGGTCCTGCCTAGACACTCATTCTCACAAAACAAACACACACCAGTATTTATATAAATTAAGTCAAATCTCACAAAACTAAAGAAACATAAACTCCAACAATCAATAAAAAAAAAACTGTACAAGATCGGTCAGTCTTTTATATCAGAAAAGTGTGTAACATAAAAAAGTTCTTTATCATATATATATATGTATATATATTATATATGTCTTTCCATAAGTGTTAGCTGGAATGAAAACTTGAAGACTCTGACTCTGTTGAGACAGAAGAGTGTCCACCCCGCTTTCCTTTGGAAAGGATCTTGAGGCTGGAGCCTCGGCTCATAGAATTGAGTGCATGCTGGGCAGAGGTTTTGAATTTGGCTCCAAGGAAGGCATAGAGGATGGGGTTCAGGCAGCAGTGAAAGAAGGCCAGGGCCTCAGTGATGGAGATCCACTTGTGCACAAGGCTCTCGAAATCGCATCCTTGCTTGATGACCTCCAGGAGGATGAAGGAGTCGATGCTGATCCCAACGTAATATGGTAGCCAGCAGGCAAAAAAAGCCAGGATGAGGATGACTGTTGTCTTGAGGGCCTTGCGCTTCTGGTGGCCCTTGGAGTGTGATAGCTTGGAGATGATAATGCAGTAGCAGGATAAGATGACAATGCCTGGCAGGATAAGACCCACCATGATGTGCTGGAACTGGAACACCACCACCCAGAGGCTGTCGGGGTAAAGGCGGTCACAGATGTACCTGCCGTCCCCCTGGCTGACGTCAGCAAAGACGAAATCAGGTATAGTCAGCAGAAGAGCAGGGATCCAGACACCCACGTAGACTGCCTTTTCAGCCAGCAGCTTCCTTGGCCTCTGGCTGTTGGTGGCGTGGACAATGGCAAGGTATCTGTCCAGGCTGATGAAGGCCAGGATGAGGACACTGCTGTAGAGGTTGACGGTGTAGATGACATGGACAGCCGTACATAAAAACTTCCCAAAGTACCAGTCCGCCATGGCATCAACAGCCCAGAAGGGAAGAGTGATGACGAAGAGGAGGTCAGCCACGGACAGGTGCAGCCTGTACTTGTCAGTCATACTTCTCAGTTTCTTCTGGTAACCCATGACCAGGATCACCAAGCCGTTGCCCACGATGCCAGTCAAGAAGATGACAAAGTAGATAATGGGCAGGAAGATCCGATTGAAATGGGTATTTTCATCCCGGAAGCACGGTTCTTTGTTGGAGTCATAGTCTCCTGAGCCTATTTCTTCAGAATAGTTATCTGAAGTATATATCTGCAAAAGAAAACAGGGACATGCACATCACTTAAGAGGCTAACGAGCCTTTCCCAAGTTTTAAGCTTTCTGGCGCCTAAAAAACTAGCATTTTTTGTTTTTAATTGCACGTTTTAACCCAGCCTTTTCCAGGAAACTCCAAAAGGCTGGCTTAGGTCCAGAGAGTACAAAATCCTGCAACCGACCGGTTTTCTCCATCTTCCCCTACAGCGGCTTCGTTACACCCTCTCCTTAGTGGAGCCAATTAGGAGTCTTAGTTTAGAACAAAAGGACGTTGAGATTCTAAGGGTTTCACAGCCGAGTCTTGGGTAACTCTCCTGCCCGCCCACGAAAGAGTAAAACCCCAAACCAAACCAAAACAAAAAGAAACTCGGTTCACACAAAGAAGTTACTTCCAGGCGCTGTAGGGTGGGAGCAAGCCGTGTGGAGCGGCGTTGGAGGAGGAGATGGGATTAAGTTTTTGTTGGAGATTAGGCAAAGGAGGGAATCGAGGAAAGCGGGACACGATGGTAGCCCCCCCCCCCCACAAAGACAACGTTTTTTTTAGGGGCAAACCTTGTTTTCTCACGCTTGTCAAAACACAAGCCACTGCATTTCAAGTCACACGTAGTGAAGAAAGAGGAATAATAATGGCAAGTCTTCGGGGATTTAGGGTTATGGGAGTGTTAAAAGTGAGCAACAGCACTCCTCTCCTCCACCGCAGCCCACCTCCGGCGCTTCTCTGGAAGGTAAGTCTGTCTTGCCACCCCCATGTTTATCACTGGGTGTATTTGGGACGTTAGAGTCACATTATCCAGGGTGGGGAAAGTCACGGGGTCTGCACCCCGTGGTTTTCGCCCCAAGTTTCACTTCCTCACTCTCCCGGTCCTTTCCCACCCTGCAGCGGACCCAGCTAGGGGGTCCGAGGTAGGCAGCTGGAGGGGTCGAGACCGTGCACACCCCGAGGTCACCCACCTAGGGGTCTGGCGCTATTGCCCACCACACCCAGGCCCATGGCCAACCGGCCGCGGTTCCAGGGGTTCCTCCTGGCTGCGCGCCAGGATCGTCCCTCCGGGTGCGGGCGACAGATTGGGCGGCTCCAGCGCGAGCGCCTTTGAATTGCGCGCCGCGGGAGGAAACGGAAAAAAAAAAAAGAAAGAAGAAAAAAAAAAAAAAGAAGAAAGAAAGAAAGCCACACACACATTCACACACACACACACACACACACACACACACACACACACACACGCACACCCAAACCCTCCCTACGCTAGGGGGTTTCAAAAGACGCAGGAAACCACCGACGGTTAAACTCTGCACTGGGGCGCAGTCAAACCGTCTCCAGGCTTGCACCTGTTCATCCCCGCGGCGACCAGGCGCAACCCAGGTGCGGTTCCAACACGCCCTCTAGTCCCCAACCCCCGTCCCGCCGGGCACACCTCCCGGCCGGCAGCTGCATGGTGCAGGTTTATGCCCCTTTCTCGTGAACGGTCCTAAAGTCAACCCAGACCTCGGGAGGCCCGTTGGCCACCGCGAAGAAGCGGTGGGTCGGGTCGGATGCCCCGCAAAGCGCTGCCACCCCACCCCAAAGCGGCCACGTTCGGTCGTCTCCCCGCGGCTGCAGCGGTTTGGACATCCCTCTCCCCCAGACAAGCGACGCGGTAGGCTAGTTCGCGTTTCCCGCCCGAGACTGGAGATCCTCCGTCTTCAGCACAGAATTTGGGGAACCGCACTCCTAATTCCAAGAACCGCTCGGAGATGCTAACCCAGGATGTAGAGCCGAGCTGGGGACTCTGCCTAAGCGTACCGACTCCAGTCTCTACTTTCACACAATGCAAGAAACTGGAAGAAACTCCTGTTCCCAGTAGGACCAGACGATGTTTGTGCGCTGGGGCAGAGCGCGAGCCTTCACCGCCTGTGTGCACAGAAATTAGGACGTTTTCAAATAGCGTGCAAGCTGGCACGCGCCACGGGACTCATGTGGGAATCAGGAGCGGCTCCAGGAAAGCTCCATCCCAACCTTCTCCCGTCTACTTACTGAGAAAAATATTATCTTCCTCCCCCATGCTCACAAAACAAACAAACAAACAAAAATTAGTTCCCGCGTCCCTTCTTCGTGACCCTGACATCCCCAAGGTTCTAATCGCTTTTACCCGCTCTTCGAGGGGCTGCGCTCTTAAGTTTGCACGCTTACTACAAAGTAGGATGCAACTGGACTTACACTTACACTGATGCCTTCCATGGCAACACTCGCTCTCCAGCCGTGGCGGCTACCGGAGCACCGAACGCCTCGGAGGATCACTGCTACCTGCTGCACCAGGCAACAAATTGAAGTTTCTGGCCCGAACTGGACTTTTATAAAAACACGCTCGCCGTGCAGCGCACGCGCAGCTCGGACGGGGCGGGAAGAGCCTGGTGGGGGCGGGGCTCGGGGCTCTGGGACACCGAAGTCCCAGAGCTGCTGCTGTTCTGCTGTAGGTCGCCTCGTGGGTTCAGAGCGTGGCCCGGACAGTGTGTTCTTGAAGTTGGGGAAAGCAGGGTGCCAGCCAGGGAGTTTGTGTCGGGTGCGCATCCATCCTTGCTCAAGTGGATAGAATTCTAGACTTACGAGTTTAGCGATGGGGACATTGAGACTAGAGTGTGTGTGGGGTGGGGTGTGTGTATGTGGGTGACTTGGCGCCTACCTAACCAGCAGGCGGCAATGTTGGAAGCTCGGCCAGGGTCTGACTCCACTCCCTGAGCTGTCAGGAGCTACTACCATCCGAGCTCTTCTGGACCCAAGTGTGTGTTAGTGCACATTCACAGCAATAACATCAGGGTCAGATGTGGATAAGCAGAAAACACTCACGGAGCTATACTCCCAGGGTGAAAAAAAAGTCACAATAACGGTAATCAATTCGTGAAGAAACATTTTTTTTAAATGATTAAAATGTGTTTTATTATAAAGAAGAATTTAACGACGAACACTGTGTGTTAACAGATCCTAAGAACCCTGCACAGAAGCATCGCTTCATGTTCATTTCATAAGCATAGAGGGATGCATCTAATTAACAGGTAATTACAGAGTCCCAGCTTCGGGTCACGAGCTGTTCTAGAAGCTGGGGACGTAGCCGCGATCCTATCGCACCAGGCGGGCGCTCGGCGAGCGCTGGGGGACCAAATGGAGCAGCCTGGGATTGCAAACCCGGCCTGAGCCCAAGGGTTTCCCTTTCCGCCTAACCCGCGTCTCCCACGCAGAACACTAAGTTGGAGCACTGATGGGAAGTCTTAATGAAGAGGGGGTTAGGCGGCAGGAGGGGGTGGATGGTTAGAGAGTCTCAGACAGGCTAGGGGATAGAGTGGGCGCCCAGACAACTTCCCAGACTCGCGCCGGTTCGGGCCGGCGCCGAGAGTGGGTGGGGCGGGGAGCAAGAGAAAGGCGGGTCCACAACCAGATTGCCTAGGGGGGTGGGGGTGGGGGCGGCTTGAGGGCGATGAAGAGACATCCTGCTGCAGGAGCCTGGGTTGCCATGCAAACCAGATACACCCCCAATCATGGGATGATCCTAAGGAGAAGGCAGGCCCAGACTGAGCCCTTGAACTCTATTCCAATCCCAGTTCTTCCCGTCCCGGTTTTTGTTTCGAGCCGGTTTTATGTAGACCAGGTTAGCCTCTGGCTCCAGGATGGCCATGCTCTTCTGATGTTCCCTCCTGTCACCTGCCCAGTGCTGAGATTGCAGTTGTGTGCCTCCATGGCCAGTTTTCATGGAGCCATGGCTTAAACCCAGAGCTTTGTGCACGCAAGGCAAACAATCTACTAGATGAATTATATATAATACATTTGCATCCCCTTCTTTATCTAATGAAGCCTTTTGGCTGGAGGGGGAAGGGAGCTAGTTTGCAGCCTGGGAACCCTTTCTCTGTAAACTATGCACCACCATCTTCCTGTGTGGCCTGGGCACTCTCCTCCGAAGTTGGCCAGTCGAGTCCTCTTCTGCTTTGCGCTTTATGTATGTGATCCTTGGAATTACGAGGTGTGACCCTCAAAAACAGCCAACTCAGGAGCCAAGAACTTTCACGCGCACGTTTAGTTGTATCAAATGGTTAATAAAGCTTGTATTTCCTCAAACTAGTTAGGGCAGACAGAAGCGCTGGTTAGACTGGAATGTCAAACCTGTTAGAGTGCCAGCCTGCAGGATGGGTAGCTAGATTGCAACAGGATTGTCAGCTAGCTGTATTGGACCCTCTGTTCCTGAGCCACAGAGAATACAATCAGAGTAAAATGGTTCGCATAATTAATATTTGTTGATGGTTGGCAGACAAAAGAAAGCTTCCTCCCATGATCTGCACATGGCTTTCAGGTCCCCTGAAGAGGGAAGCGATAAAAGGTCAATGAAATGCTATTTGGTGACTATAGACATTGAGGGAAGAGGGAGAGAGAAGTGTTTTTCTTTCAAAGATAATATTCAGCCTCTGGATTGGAGAAGACCAGCCATCTCTTGCTTGTCTCTGGTGCGAGCAAGCGAGCGAGTGTGCATGCGTGCGTGTGTGCATGTGTGCGTGCACGCGCGTGTGTGGTGTTTGAGCGGCTTCAATGAAAAGTATTTTGTATGTAGCCAGGACCTTCTGAGAGGAGTAATTCCACCTAGAGAGACCTAGCCCCAGGAAATAGCAGTTATGCTACAAAGTAATTCATGGGAATATTATTTACAATAGTGCTAATAATAGAAGAGTTAATAATAGCTTGAGTAGCCCTAAATGTCCACGTTAGCAGACTAGTGGAGGCGATTTTGGGACATCTGTGAATGGAATTAATATGGATGTTGTGAATGTTTATGAATAATTTTTAATAGCACGGGGAAATGCTTATGAAAGAAACTGCATGTCAGTCTACATGATCTCAGTCATGACAACTCATGCCTCAGAGGATGAGGGGGGGCGCCATTGGTAGAGTGCTTGCCCAGCATGCATGAAGTCCCGGGGTCTCCTCCTCAGGCAGTGGGTTTCATGACTCCCAGGCTGGCCTCCCTGGGTAGCTGTGTTCAACTCCTCCACTTCCCCAGTACTGGGACTGCAGGCATACATACAACACCGCGCCCAGGTTATGTGATGCTAGAACTGAGCTCAGGACTAAGTGCATGTGAGGCAGGCTGGCCACCTATTGAGTTACAGCCCCATCTTTCTGATGTACTTTAGAAAAAAACAAATCAAACTCAAATGCCAACCGGATGCTTGTTAAGCGCATTCACCTTGGCCAATACCCTCCACAGTTCTACCAGGCAGATATCCCCACCTGTCTTCCAGGATAAGGAAGCTGAAGTCTGGTGAGGGGAAGGAGACAGCTTCCCTCCTTGTACTCACATAAAGGTCTGTGCCCAGACTGCCTGGCTCCAGAGCCCAGGCTTTGTCACTCTGTCACGTGGTGACTGACTGTCTTTCCTCCAGGGGTTGCAATCCACCCTCTGCTAGGGCATTTGGCGGTTACTTACCTAGTGCTTTCAGTGACATCTTTTGTGATTCAACTTTCTAAAAAAACAAATGTGTCTTACTCCGCTTGCTTGAACATTCCAAGTTCCTTGAAGAGAACGCCCAGATAGCAGTTTTCCAGCTAGCCCACTGCTGAGCAGACCATGGGCCCCTTGATTGTTTACTGAACCTTCCTTTAAAGAATTAACAGTTTTCCCGTGTGGCTCTGGCAGCAGAGGCCGGGCTTAGGAGCTGTCAGGGCTTTGGCAGTATCCCCAAGTCCTCAGAATTGCTTTAATCCAGGGAATAGCTAGCTCTGACCACTGTTTGTGGGGATGCTTACAAAGTCAGTGACACAAGCATCCTGCCGCCTCCTGTTGCTTGCTCTGCAGCTGGTTGATTTGCTCTCTCTGCATGTGTGACAGAAAGCTCTACTCTGTCCAAAACAGGCTCCAAGTTAGTCAGGGAGAAAGCTTATAAACAACCCCCTTTCTCATTGGTAGGTGGCAGGAGGCATTGACATTAAAGGCCTTCTGAATAGGAAGGATCCTGAGATGATTTATTTAGTCGGTGAAGTGCTTGCTTTGTGGAATTCAGTCTCCTGGAACCCATGCAAATGAAGGAAGGAAGGAAGGAAGAGAGGGAGGGAGGGAGGCAGGAAAAAAGGAAGGAAGGAAGAAAGAAAGGCAGGAAGGAAGGCAGGCAAGCCAGGTAAGGTGACACTTGTAATCCCAGCACCGGAGAGACAGAGACATGATCTCTGGAAGTTGCTGGTGACCGTATCTCTGAAAACTAGATAGATCACAAACCAACTTCTCCTCCAACCCCTGATGTGTGTGTGTGCGCGTGTGTGTGTGTGTGTGCATGTGTGCGCACACACACTAAAAAGTAAGGGGAAGAAGAAAAAGAAGGAGGAGGAAAAGAAGAGACTGTAAAGGACTCTCCTGTCCTCTTCTGCAGCCCAGGGATGAAACCCAGGGCTTCAAGCATGCCAGGCAAGTGTTTACCACTGAGATCCATTTCAGGGAGTCCCTCATTTTTTTTTTTTTTTTTTTGTATTTTGAAAGGAATAAAAAAGCACAGGCTTTCTTGATGATTGTAGTGGATAATCAAAAGGATGGAGTTAATGTTTCCCCAGATGATTAGAAGAGAGAGAAAAGCGGACTACTTCCCAGGGGTGAGCAATCCTAGCAGAGGGCTGAGTTGCAGAGACAATGCTATCAAGTGTCAAGTAGGGAAAATCCATGCCCCGCCACCCTAAGCTTCTGCCTTCAGCATTTAACAGGTGAAAAGGGACTTTGGAAAATACGATTTCTATCTTGCAGCCCTACGCCAGCCTAGGAAAAACATTACCAGTTTTCTGAGAAGCATTTTTCTCCAAGTTTAACTTGAATTTCAAAAACCTTTTTCTTCTTTTTCTCCCACTAAAATGAGATTAGGAGCGATTTCCATCAAAGCTCTGTAACAAGACAAGATGTCCTATCTGAAGGAAAGTGGCTAGACGGGTACGCAGAGACGGTTATGGTCGCCCTGGAAAGCAATGCAGTAATCATTACTTGACTAATGTGAGGGCCATAGGCTCAGGTGGAGGTGGCTGTGTCACGGAGGTGAATAACACTCAGAGGTGATGGTGTCAATCTGAGGGAGCAGACTGTGTCCTCCATGGAAAAGGCTTGTCGTTGTTTTCCTTAAACCAGTAATTTATTGGTGGTATCCCACAGGCAGGCAGCTATGGAACAGCAGGCAACAACTAAGCCTGAGGACAGTGGATTTCGAAAGAGAACCTGGCAACTTCTGGCAGAGCCACAGTGCTCCCAGAAATGTGGTCTTTGAGTCTACCAAGAGCGATGTATCATCAGCAAGACGGGGTGGCAAAAAGAGGGGGGGGGAGAGAGCGCTCGCTCAAGGGACCC